ATAAAGAATATGAAAAGGTCATATGTGATAGTACACACCTATAATCCCAGCAATTCAGAAGGCTTAGGTAGAAGTGTCACAAGTTGGAGGCCAGCCTCAGCAACTTAATGAGACCCTTAGCAGTATAGGGAGACTATCTCAAAATAAAAAGGACTAGTGATGTGACTCATTGGTGAAGCACTCCTGGGTTCAATCCTCCACAACAAAAGAGAGATTGTGCAATGGTTTCTATACTTATAGTGATAAGTATTTCAAACAAATATATATATTTTTAAAGTTTACCATTAACATTAATAAACAAAAATTCATATTTCAAATAATCTTGATAATTAAATCATAATTCTAAATTTTTCATAGACTTCCCATTCTGAGGCATCAATTCTACCATTTTCTTATTATTTGACTATATTTATACTAATATTATCTTCAGTATGAAATTTGTGAGGTTTCTAAATCCAGTTAGCCAGTCATTAAACCATATCATGATAGAAAAAAGTGACTGAACAAGTAATTGAACTTACATGATTTTTAAATATATATAAACTCTTACACTTAAACAAATAAAAGAGAAGATAAATACAAGTAGATGTAGATTTTCTCCCAACTCCCAAGAATGAATAGCTTTTCACATTTTAGGATGTATGTATGTACAATCACTGCTATAAAAAAAACAAACCAATGCACATCATCCCTCCCACCACAGGCTGCCCAACATCAAAGATGACACTTCCACTTACTATCTTTCTTAGCTTGGGCAAGGTATCTAACATGTGTATGATTCAATTCTCCATCTATAAACAAGGATAATATCTTCATAGGTTTGCTGCAGGACAAAATGAACTACTCTAAAGACTGCTTAGAGTAGTGCTTCACAAATAAGTGCTCAAAAAATGAGAGCCATAATCATAAAGAAAACAAGTAATAATAAATGTTGGTGAGGATGTGGGAAGAAAGGTACTCTTATACATTGCTGGTGGGAGTGCAAATTTGTATAACCACTATGGAAAACTGGAATGGAACTACCATTTGATCCAGTTATCCCACTCCTCCATCTATACCCAAAGGACTTAAAATCAGCATGCTACAGTGATGCGGCCATATCAATGTTTACAGCAACTCAATTCACAATAGCCAAGCTATGGAACCAACCTAAGTATCCTTCAACAGATGAATGAATAAAGAAAATGAGATATAAATACACAATGGAAAATTACTCAGCCATAAATAAGAATGGAATTATGGCATTTGCCAGTAAATGGATGGAACTGGAAAATATCATGCTAAATGAAATAAGCCATTTCCAAAAAACCAAAGGCTGAATGTTCTCTCTGATATGGATGCTAACCCACAACAAGGGAGGGTGGGAGGGGAAGAATAGAAGTTCATTAGATTAGAAAAGGAGAATGAAGGAAGAGAGGAGGAGGGGGATAGGAAGGACAGTAGAAAAATAGGACATAACTTTCCTATCCTTGATTTGAATACATGACCAGGGTAACTCCACATTGTATACAATCACAAGAATAGGATCCTAATTAGAATAAGTTATACGCCAGGGAAGTATAATATGCCACAATGCATTCTGCAGTCATGTATATATAAGAAAAAACAAATAAAATTTAAAATGATAGCCATTATTATTCCAAATATTATTCATAGATAAATATACATATTTTTTGCTCTAGGCAATTTATTCCTAGCAGTAAGAATGCACATATGGTTGGGCTACCTTGACTACCTGGTTTCTTAATTGTTTCATTTGACAAAGCTACTGATTAATAAAGAAGGCATGACTCCTTCCTCCTTTGGCCATGACTACTTTGTCAGACCTCAGTGGTTCTTTTTCTTAAAGGACCCAAATAAGATGTTGGCAATTTAGATTATGTGATCATAATATGGAGAAATTTCAACCTCAATAGATTATCTTATACTTATGAAAATCTCTATCAAGTACTACATTTCTGTGCCTTACCTTTAGGAGCTAAGTTTAGAGCACAACACAGCAAAATAAGACACTTATGGACAACATCCAGGGGTCAATAACTGCCATCGAGTATCAATTATTTTCTAAGTTGATACCATGCTCTTTGAAGGGAGGAATTTTGTCCCATTTATTCTAAATATCTCTGTATACTTTCAATGCCTAATGTACCATTAGACAGTAAAGGCATTAAACATTCATTGACACACTTGTAATTATTACATCTGCTTTACATTCTTTCTTGGCCCATGCTCTCTGCAGTACAGAACTTTAAATTTTCAATCTCCTCAATCCTTGTGCTAGAAAAAGTCCCAAATGGATTTTGGAAAAAAACTTGGATGAGGCATGCCTTATGTTCTCTTTCAGCCCATTTCTCTTCAAAAGACAGGCTGCATTAATCACAACTTATAATTATACCTTTATTTACATAATTATTTGTTCAACATATATTTCACTCAACTGAGTGCATAACAGGTATGAAGCAGTTCCCCCCCCTCCTCAGAGCATCTCTAAAACCTAATATAAAGCCTGACATGTGTTGGATGCTCAATAAACATTTATAATGTATCCTTGTCAAAGCTTTTCATCTATATAACCATGCTAAACTATCCTCTAGAATAAAGCAACTAAATCTGCCTTCAGTGAGCAACAGTATAACTTCAAACTCCTCAAAGCTTAGTATATTTCAGAAGTTAAGAGAAATGTAATATTAATTCACCCATCCACTCATTCATTCTTTCAGTAAATATTTGAACTCCTTCTACTATGTGTCAAGCACTATTCTAGATTCTTGTCTCTGCACCTACAGTGTTTGCATTCTACACGGTAAAGGTAGAGGACAGGATACAATAAACAAATAATAAATACTGTAGGAAAAAAAAAACATAAAGAAGTTAAGACAGCCAGGGATAATGGGATGCAGGGGCCTGATTAAGGTTTGCAATTTCACAGAAAATAGATAAGTAAGGCCTTCTTGCTAAGGTTGACATGGGAGCAGTAAAACAGCACACAGGAAAGAGGAATAGCAACTGTGAAGGCCCTGCCTAGTGAGACAGGCAATCTAGTCTCTACCAGTGTTTACCATTTGGTGTTAACACAGCCCCCAAGAAACATTTAGAAATAGAAGGAGGTAGGTGTTTTTGAGTTTTCACACTGATGTGAAGTGGGGTGGGGTGTGAGTGAGATTAGGATGGGGATGCTCACCTATAATGCCCAGGAAAAGTTCAAACAGCAAAGAAGTGTTTGCCCCAGATATCCACTAATTGTTTTTGGTGGGGGCGCTGGGAATTATAGCATTTTTGTTTTTGACTTTCAAATTGCCCTGATTACATTACCAAATTTCAATGAATAAAAGATTGTATAAGTGATTTGTGATAAAATTACCAACAGAATTGCATTTTATATACATGTAGTTTTATCTCAATTCAACTTTACACATTTATGTGTGTGTATGTGTGTGTGTGTGTGTGTGTGTGTGTGTGTGTGTTTACTGGGGATTGAACCCAGGGTCTTGTGCATGATAAATAAACCTTCTATTACTGAACTGCGTCCCCAATCCCTCAACCACATACTTCCAATCCCATTATATTTGCCATTTTGCTGGTTTATCACATTTAATATGTGATATGGACTAGGTCTCTGTTCAAGAACTCAGGTGACACATTTCACAATTGTCTCCTTTGCATCAAAAGATACATGAACACCCTGGATGGGAAGTTTCATGCCTTGGACATCAAATCTATCAGAAAATCCTCTCCCTTGGGGCTAGGGATGTGGCTCAAGCGGTAGCGCACTAGCCTGGCATGTGCAGAACGCTGGGTTCGATACTCAGCACCACATTAAAATAAAATAAAGATGTTGTGTCCACCGAAAACTAAAAACTAAGTATTAAAAAAAAGAAAAAGAAAATCCTCTCCCATTCTAATGTGGTAACATTCTCCATTTTCTCTGATAACTACTTTGTTTTAAGACCAGCTCAATGGATGTCTGCTGCATGATTCTTTCCCCCAACATTCCCAGTTGCTTACTCCTAAATCAATGCCATAGCGACAAAAATCTTCTTTCCAAAAGCTCATTTATCAGACATGCCAAAGGTTCTTCTTCACCTGCCTGCCTGTCAAAGTAAACCATAGCTATCCTATGTTAACAGCTAAGTTAGTGCCTGGTCCCTAGCAAGTGCTCAATAAGTAAGTACAGAGAGAATGGAGAATGATCGCTCTCCAAGTTAAGCTAAGAATATATCAAACTCAAAATTGCACTTTAAAAACCCGGAGACGCTAGAAGACGGCTGCGAGAGTTGGGACAAAGCAGGAAACCGGGCCAGAAAGCAGACAGAGAGAGACATCTCCACTTCAGGACTTTTTCAAGCCTATGCTGAGAAGTGCCAACTTTGGTGTTTTAGATGCAACACTGTCCTTAGGCAGGGAAAGGAACTAGGTTTCTGTGGTCTTTTTTCAACCCTAAGATCCCTGAACCCCTCTATCGAGCAGATCTCATTTGAGGAGCCCAGGAACCATAGGTGAGGTGCTCACCTTCCCGTTCGTGGGAGGCTCCTGGATGTAGATGTTGCTCATCCTGCTCAGTGCTCAGGAATCCGCTCCTTAGTGAGGACGCCAGAGGCCAGCCAGTCACTAAATCTGGACACCTATCAGAACACAATTCCTTAAGTTGTGTTGTCAGGAAAAGTTCCACTCGGTCACTGTCACCCAAGACAGCGACACCAAATACTATCTTGCCTCAACACTAGCCCCTCACGGACGCCGCCATGTTGCTCCTGGACCCGAGCACCGCTAACCATGAGAAGGGGGACTCCCGTGTTCTCCAGAAAACAGAAAATGATTACAAAGCTGTTATATACTAATATAATATTCGACATTATTATTTATAACGAAATAAAAAGAAGTAATACGTAAATCCTGGCGGTGTTCACTTCACTAGGGTGCAGGTAACACATAGTTCCCGAAGCTGGCAGTAATGGTTCAGACCATGTGTGTTCTGCAATATTAGTCGCCCGGAAACAGCATCCGTGGCTACTTGGTTCCGCCAGCCCCAGAGGCTTATCAGGCTTTTCCCCCGCCGTCGGAAAGGTGCCGCGGCGCGGGTACCAGAGGTCGCTTTGTGTGTTGTCTTCACAGCCGGCGGGAAGCAAACGCGTTCTCGGAAGCTAAGGGCTTCAACGACCCCTCTTACGAGCGTCATGGCAGTCCCAGGTGAAGACCAACAGTGGGACCCCGGTGTCCGGGAGAGGAAGGGAACCGGTGGGGTGAAGTAGGATAGGGTACGGTGGGGTAGGGAGCAGCGCCCATGGGGATTTAGGCGGAGGCCTAACCTGATTTGGTTGTCCTACACGAAGAAGTTTACAAGTCTAAAGGAAAAAAAAAAAAAGGTACTGTCGTCGCCCCTCGCCAAGCCCGACTGCACAGGATCATAGAAAAAGTGTATTGTAGAAGGGAGAGAAGTGAGGAATGGTAGGCCAAAGGAGACCGGCGGCCGAGAAGAAATGACTTTCATTTTGGTATGCCTTAAAAATAAAATTTGAAGTGGGAATACTTGGTGGACCCAGGTAGCCAGAGGCATTTGGACTGGAAGACACGGAGACGAAATGCGAGTGTACTTCCAGCTCTTCCTGTTGTGTGTAGTCGCTGTGTGGCAGTAGACCAGTTGCTTTTCCCTTTGTGGCCTCAGTTTAAGAAGGAGCTTTGTTAAAGGATAACTAGTAGTGTACCTTCTAGCTCCTAATTTCTGTGTCCAGAGAGTACTCTCCTTCCTAAAAGTGACAAACCCTGCAGACTAAGTACCCCAGAGATGTCCTGCTCGTGATTCCCAGCATTTAGAAGTTCTCGTAGGGGAACTTAAATCTGCAGAACCCTAGTTGCAGAATATTTGGTAAATAGACCCTTTCCCCCTACTTGGAGATTAACAACCTACTTTAGTATAACAAAGATTCTGAAAAGTATTGCTTTAGAGCCCCAACTTTACTTAATCCCCACCCCCTTCCCAGGATTTTTAGATGGGTTTTTTGTTTGTTTGTTTGTTTGTTTGTTTGTTTTGTTCTGTGGAAACTTTTTCTGAAGATTATTTGAAGAAAGCGGTTATAGGAACACTACTTTTCTACCTTTCCCAGTTTGGGGAGGAGCATCTCTGGATCTGAGAGGAAATGTACACTCTTTATTAACTGCCTACTATATGCTGGGCACTATCCTAGGTATGCTTTTGGAATACAGTTGTGAACAAGGTAGACACTGTTGCTTTTCACACAGAAATTACAATTTAGCAGTGAAGAGAAATTTACACAAAGTGGGACTAGTACTATGTCAAGTAAAATACAAGGCCTTGGGGAGCATTTAGGGGACTCTTAACAGGGTACAACAGAGGCCAGACGGACTTTCCAGTGAATGTAGCATTTGAGATTAGACCTAAAGAATTATGGGAAGGGTAGAGTTCTGGGAAGGGAGATTGCAGTCAGAGACACTAGATATGTAAAGGAAGAGGTGATAGGTGAAGAGGACATGAAAGATATTTGCTACAGATGTCACTCAGCAAACAAATGAAGAAAAGTGAGAAATTAACTAAAAAAGAGATGACAAAAATAGCTAATATTTACTAAGGATTTACTATGTTATCATATGTGTCAGATACTATGGCAAATATTGTATTTTATCTCCTTTAACTTTCACAGCCACACTGTGGGATAAGCATTGATGTTCTGATTTTACACATAAGAAAACAGGAACAGAGAAATCAAGTAACTTGCCTCTATTATGAGAAAGTTCATAACTGACCAATCAGTCTGGCTCCTAGACCATGTGCATTAATTCATTTTGCCACACTATATTATTGATTTACAAGGTAGTTTCTGGCTCTTGAAGGACCTTGCAAGTAGTGACAAGGAGTTTGGATGCCATCTTAGAAATCATAGGAAATCATTCAAGAGTTTTTAAGCAAATTCATATTTTGAAAAATCATTCTGTCTATAGGGTAGATTGGAGGGGAGTTTGCCTGGAGGTACAGTCACTAGTTAGGAGTAATTCTGATTAAGTCATGATAATGCTTGCTAAGATATGGTCTCATTAAAAAAGGACAGAAACAAATAGGTTGGAGACATATTTTTGGTGGCTGAATTACTAGCAGTTGGTGATTGATTTGACATGGGTGTCATCATTATACAAAATACATGTGTGAAGATGTGAATTTGGTGTCAATATACCTTATATACAATCAGAGACATGATAAATTGTGTATAATGGTGTATTAAGAATTGCAGTGCAATAATAATAATAATAAAAGAAAAATAGGGAATGCAGTTTATCTGGGTTTCACTGTTAGGTAATTGGGTGGGGCTTGTTACTGATAAGACAAGGAGCAGAGTGTAGGTGGATGATGATGTCTTCTGTTCCAAGCTTGTGTTGAGGTTAGTCTGACATAGAAATAGAAATATCTAGTAGACATTATGAGATATAGTATTTAGTTTAGGAAAAAAAATCAAAACCAAAGAAAATGATCTGTCAGCCACCTGCACTTAGGAAAGATTAAAGCTGAAAGAATGTATAACTGATCTGGTGGAATGTGTACAGTGTGAAAGGAAGATCTGTGACTGAAGCCTGGGGAATGTCACAATCTAAGTGACCAGTTTAAAAAAAAGAGAGAGAGAGAGAGAGACAAACCTGCACAGTAGATTTCTGGGTATCCTGATAGACCAAATTAGCTCTGTTGAGTTTAGCTTCTCATGGTTGCATCCAAACTGGACTGTTGTCATTGTTCATTACATTACTTGAGCAAACTTTTTAAAAATACCTGTGTGGTATGGGTACTCTGAGGGACACAATGTCATAGTCTGTGCCCTTGCAAAACTTTAGTCATTGTGCTACTTAAGGAAGAAGACAAAGTGATTTTCCAAAGCCCCATTTAACTCCAGTAAACTTAGACCAGTGTTATAGATATGTTAATCTTCTTTCAATTCAAAATAATGCTTCAAGTATAATAATAAATTGTGCCATTAAGCTAGATGGCAGGACATAGATAAACTATTTAAACTCAGCAGAAAGTGAGATAATAGGCATGGCAGGTGCTATAAAAGTACAATGCAAGTGCCATTAGAAAATATAGATACAGAGAAAGTTAAGATAATTTCTTGGATGATTGATCCAGACAATATATAAAAGAAAAATAGAGCTCTATTGAAACCTTTTAAGGTAATCATCAATGAGGACAAGTATTATGTTATGCTGTATTATTTTAGGTATAATAGATTCAGCTCAGCATCTCTTGGAGTGGTTCTGCTAGTGATTATTATAAGGTATGACTATAAAGTAATGAGGCTACTTTCCACAAACCACACAGGAAAACCAGCTTTGTCTTTTTATGGTCACATGCTTCTGCTGTTTTTCCTTAGCATTGGTGTTAGCTTAAACCATTATGTAAGTTACACAATGAAATATTGTAGACTCTTAGAAAAATCTTGGATGCTTACTTGTTTTTAGAGAAATGACATTTGAACATAGGTTTCATTGAAGTTTACTTTCTTTGGAAAATTGCTTTTCCCATTCACAGTTGTTGAAATTAACTCAGTTGTTGAAATCATGTCAGTGATTCACCATTCTCCATGAATAATTGACATGGCATAAGTAGCAGTATATGTTACTGATATAGTCAGCACAAAAACTCAATTTGGGGAAAGATAGGTCTATTTTTGTTGTTGATGTTGTTGTTGTTGTTTTTCCTTTCCTTTAGTGAAGTCTGTAGCCAAGGTAGGGAATTATTAATGGTTAAGTCAACAATTCATTCAGCCTGGCATATCAAAATGAATAAGATTTTTAAACACATTACTATAGCACCTTAGTAAAAGAATGTCTAAGTTACAATATATCCAATTTATTTCACTCCTAAACTATATAGGTAATTACATTTCTTTCTTGTTCATGCTGCAAATTGCTATTGAAATAATTTTCCTAAATCACATACCTAATCCTGCCATTTCTGGGAGGCAGTAAATTAATTTTAAACTTCTACCTGTGAATTTTGTGATTCTCTTCAAACCACTTAACCTTCTTGAAACTCAGTTACCTTGTCTACTTAATGACAAGTTGATGCCTTAGATTTAAGCTTCTAAGGCATTGTAATATCAAAATTCTCTCTCTCTACAAGAATGAAGTACCTGGGCATAAAATGCTCATCATCTCTAGCAAACAGAGAAATGCAAACCAAATCGCTTTTTTTACCTTTTCCTTCCACCACTCTTCTCATGCATTCTGCAGTGTTGCAAAAATCTGACTCGGCCAGATTCTCTGACCTCTTAGATGTTTTCCTGCCTACCTGCCTTTGTTATTATTGTCCATTTCCACTTTTATTATCCATGCCTACTTTTACTACTTATACCTTTTATTATCCATTCCCTGTTTTTCAGCTGAGGTTCTTGCCTGCTGCTTCTTCATGCTTATTAGCAGAAAAAATAATGTCTTTTTTGACACCTGGCACAGTCTGTCATTTATAACAATAAGGGTTTATTATCCTAAATAACTTGGTGTTATGGTTTAGATTTAGAATGAACACCCTAGGGTTCATGTTTTTGAAGACTTGTGGGCTTTTGGGAAGTGATTGGATCATGAGAGTTCCCAAACTCATCAGTGGATTTGATGGCATTGGGAGGTTGCTGCAGTCTGGCTGGGCACAAAATCAAGAGCCACTCACAGCCTTGTAGATTCAAACAGCAATTCTTTATTCCCAAACTCTCATCACCGGCACTCTACACACATGTTCTGGGAAAAATCCACACCTCCACCGGACTCTGCATCCCAAATACTCTCTGAATCCCGGGAGAACTCAACGGGAACTCAAGGAGCAGGCCCCGGAGGCAGCAGGATACGCCCTAAACCTGGAACCGCCCTATTCCCAGCAGGATCCACCCTAAACCCAGATCCGCCCTAATCCCTGAGCAAGGTCATCTTTCAAATCAAAACTCTCAAACATTCATGCAATGTCACTGCAAATGACCTGGGTCCAAGGCAAGCCCATTTCCACAATGGAGAGTCCTCCCTCTAAGCAACATTGGGTAGGCTGACAAGGAAATTCCTACTTGGCCATGGCTCTCAGCAGGAGGTGATGAAAACTATAGACAGTTGGAAGAGTAGGCCCTCGGGATGTGCAAGTACTTGGTAACTATATCTTGTCCCCAGCCCTCTCTCACTATTATATAGACATACCTTATAATAATCACTATCAGAACCACCTCAAGAAAGGCCAAGCTGAATCTATTATGCCTGTCTCTCTCTCTCGTTCCCTCTCTCTCTCTTTATCCCTCTTTCTCTCCTCTCTCTCCCTCGATCTCTAGCTCCCAGTCTCTTTCCCAACTGTCATAAAGTGAGCAGCTTTCCTCTACCCTGCCCTTTTGCTATGATGTTCTACTTCATGTTAGGCCCAAAGCAATGGACTTAACAAAACATGACCTACTCCTCTGAAACCATGAGAAAAATGAACCTTTTTCCCTTTAAGTTTTTTTTTTCAGGCATTTTGTTCTTGTTATGAAAAATAACTAACATGCCTGATATCATAGCTTCCTTGAATGAGGGACTTTACCTTTATTTATCTTTGTGGCTTTTCTAACATCCAATTCAGAATTATAGCAATGATAAGTAAATAATAAATACTTAGATGGTTGATCACTAGAATTGCTGCTAAGCAAAATCTAGTACTAAAACAAATAGACTTGTCTAGATAGCAATCTTGATTTTGTTTCACTGTTTCATTTGATAATGAATTTCTGTCTCTTGAGACAGGTAATACCTAAAACAATTTTCTTCGTAGATTATTTTGTGAGGTAAGTGGATGAAAGAGTTTTATGCATTCACTTAAATGTTAGCGCTTTCATATCAGTTATCAACTCTTTGTTTTACTTTTATCACTCTTTTGGGAGTCAAATAAATTATGAAGACATTTTTAATTGAACATTAGGACATCTTTTCCTTCAATATATTTTCATCAAGGAACTCATTTAATCTATTTTTTAAATTCATTTCTTAGAATTTCTAAGTTCAGTTAATTATCCTCCCTTCAATATTTGGGATCCCAAACAAGGAGTGTATCTAAATTATTCATATAAATCAATATAAAGGTTTAAATATTTAGAGTTTTATTTGTATTCCACTTCAGCAGGACATACATATTAGCACCTACATCATATAAAATTTGACCACAATTTGGAGATTAGAAGCTCAGCAAATTGATGTTCTGTTTAAGGATCCCAAAATTATATTAACTAAAACCACAATGGAATAATAACCAATTTAAAACTTGTTACAAAAAGGAAAAGAACTTAGCCTAGTCTAATTAAATCTAATCAAATTAAAATGAAATAATGCATCCTATGACAGCAGTGATTACAATTTCTAATTGTTTAATCCAAAGAAAATTTAGTTACTTAAGCTATTTACTTTTAAGTTTAAGTGATTATAGAGAATAATTTAAAGAAAAATTTGACAGGCATCCTCCAAATCCAAAATGGACATTAATTTTTTTTTTTTTGTACCAACAGTTGAACCCAGAGGGGTTCTTAACCACTGAGCCACATCCCCAGCCCTTTTTTAAAAATATATGTTGTATTTAGAGACAGGGTCTCCCTGACTTGCTTAAGGCCTTGATAAGTTGCTGAGGCTGGCTTTGAACTTGCCATACTCTGCCTCAGCCTCCCAAGCTGCTGGAATTGCAAGTGTCCGCCACCATGCCTGCCTCAAGTGTCTTTTGAGTTTGCTTTTGATGGTTTTTGCCATTTATGTTTTTTATTCCTGATCAAATTTATGTTTGTCTTGAAAGCATTCTAATTGCATGTCATGAATAGAAAGGTAAACTTTGAGGTGGGTAGGCAGCATTTTTCTTAAAAACCTTAGCAGATTTCAGAAAGGAATGGAACAAAGAGTTCCAAAGGAGCCTAAAGGAGGAAAATAGATAGCTGAGTAGGAGCCTCACAGGATAGCCTAACTGTTCAGTTTACCATAGGTTACAAGTATCATTGTACTTCTTCCAAACAACTGAAAATTACTAGTTAACTAGTAATAACTAGTTTTGTTTAGCATTATCCAGCATCTGAAATTTCTATGGAAGCAGACTTACCATTTGCCCCTATTCTCAGAGCTTTTTTTCTGAATATGCAGTTATTTTCATAATGGAAGAGCCTCAGATTATATATTATTCCAATTTCATTTCACAATTCAGCAATATAGTGTGGTATGTGTGTTCCTCAGCTATGCAGTAAAAACCACAGGTTTATGGGGAAAATGGGATTGGGGGCATAATGCTCAATATGTCATTAGTGACACACTAAAAAAAAAAAGGATAGGAACCTGATAAAAACAGTAGCATGGTTATATAATAAGTTAATTGCTTATACAGTACGTAAATACTACAATAAGTATGGCACTCACCTTTAAGAAGACCTGGAGGTTGTTGTGGAAGTAGAGTTCAGAAGAGATGCAGTTAGTCACTTGTTATAAAAAGGTGGAAGGAGGATGATGATGTGAAATTGATGAGAAAAATCTTAACACCAGGTGCAGATGAGTGCTGTCCACAACACTGAGGTGAACTGAAGTCACCAGAAATGTTTAGAGTATGTTCCTGTATGTTTTGTGGATTCCTCAGCAGCTCAGACCAGCTGTTTGCAATTTTCTGCATTCACCTACTTTTGTTATGGATGAAAGTTACATTATCCTCAAATTTTCCCCTAATATATCAGTTGCATTGAAATAACATTTTCATTTTTAGAACAAGCATTATAGCTCTATTTTTACTAGAGTAAATATACTCTATTTTTATTAGAGTAGCTCTGTATGTATATTTTTGAAGAAAATTGGAATTGTGGGAAATAATCAATGTTTTGACTTCAAGAATTAAAGAAATTGTTTTAAAATGATTTTTCATTGAAATTGACACTTTCATATTTGTGTTAATGTACTTTAATGTATTATTACATTGTTTTAATAGCTAGATACCCCTCATCAAGAAAATGGAATAATACTGTACTGGACTTATTATTGTTTGATGGAAGCCACTAATTTTGATTTACTAGATATATATGTGAACATTAAGTTTAATAAATGTTCTGCTGGGGCTGGGGTTATGGCTTAGTGATAGAGCGCTCACCTAGCGTATGTGAGGCCCTGGGTTCAATCCTCAGCACCACATAAAAAGTAAATAAATAAAAAAGGTATTGTGTCCAACTACAACTAAAAAATAAATATTAAAAAAAATAAATGTTTTCTGATTTCCATTATAAGAAAAACAATCCAAACTTTCTTAAAAGTGGTGAAAATTAGTTTTAACTATGTATGCACATAATGGAATATTTTTCTACCATAAAAAAGAATACAATTCTGATATATGCTGTAAAATGATCTTTGAAAACATTCTGCTAAGTAAAATATGTCAGACTCTTAAGGATAAATATTGTATGATTTCCTCATACATGTGGCAAATTTTTACAGACAGGAAGTGGAATACAGATTACTAGTAGCTGGAAAAAGTAGAGAATACACAGTTATTTAGTGGGTACAGTTACTATTTGGGATGAAGAAACTCTTTTGAAAATGGATAATACTAATAGTTGTATAACACTAAATATTCTTAATGCTACTGAATTGTACATTTAAAATGGTTAAGATGGTATATTTTACCTTGTGTATGTTTTACCACAATAAAAACTCAGTTTTTGTTTTATCTATTTATGTCTTCCGAATTACCTGCCTGTACTACTGATTACCCAGAGCTACTAAGAAAATTTGTAAACGTTTATCAAATTTGATTGTTGACTTCAGATGTGTTATTAGATGTGACTGATTTTAACAAATCCTATTAGATTTGTATCAACTAGTTGCGTGTTCTATTCATAGCCTTTTGGGAATCATTGCCTTTTTGTTTACAAAGATGACCTATTTTGAGCTTTTATATAGGTACATTCCTGTTTTTGTGACAAAAGAAAAACTTTAACCTGTCCCAAAAGGAAAAATGACTATCAGAAGTATGTTTTGTTTTAGTGTGAGTTAGCATTACTGTACTTGTTTATTGTAAAGGTGGACATATAGCATTCAGTGCAGTTTTCAATGAAAAGTAGTTAAATTTTCAAAACAAAAAAAAAAGAGTTTTGAGTTTAGATATTTCTTATAATACCTAGCAGCTACAGTGATTTTCCCAAAATTTCACCAATTCTTTTAAGAAAGTTTGGATTGTTTTTCTTATAATGGATATCAGAAGAACATTTATTAACCTTAATGTTCACATATGTATCTAGTAAATCAATTGTTTTACATTTGAGGGACAGGCCAAAGTACCCTGGAATTTCTTCTGTAAGGTAGAATTCCTAAAATGTTTAAGTTCTTGGCTATATGACTGCACTTCTATTGAATTAGAAAAAAAAATTCTTTGAAGTGTTTATCAAATAATCTGAGTAAACTGGCCTTGAGCAAATTGATTTCTACTTATATTTGAGTAATATTACTAAGATGAATTGGACATCATTTTTGTATTTTCTTTTCAAGAAATTTTATAATGTTTTTATGATTTTGTTTATATACATTTCCTAAAATCTATCCAATTGCATTTCAGGTTGCAACAAGGACAATGTCAGAGCAGGCTGTAAAAAATGTGGCTACCGTAAGTACACTAAAGGCAAAATTCTGTACACTGTTCTTACTGGATTCCTTGCTCTTTGGGCAGTATACCTTGGCATCCTTAGTTTATTCCTAAACTAAGGTTTACAGTTTATTGAGAATTTTCTGTTAGTATTAAATATGCAGTTTTCTTTCTTGCTGTAGACCCAGTAACAGGTAGTCATCTACCTGATGACTAGCAGAGATGTCATAAAGTACAAGTGGTTAGTAGTAGATTTAGGAGTTTGGAGAAAATATATATTTTATCAAATCTATATATACTTATTCTTTTATTCTTTAACCTGGATACTAGACAAAGAGGTGAAGGCATTGAAAACTATTTTTGAAAATTGTTCATGTTTATTGAGATATTTATCCTTTTTATATAAGGGTTTGATTGATTCCAGAAATTTTTCTCATGGACAGAAAAATACTTGTTTTAAACAACCATTAATCTCCATTATGTTTACTGTCATAACCTGAAAAGATAAAGCTAAACAGGTGAAACTATATATAATACTAAAAAAATTGTAATTTTATACTGTAAATAAGTAACATTTTCATAGTTGAATTTTTTGTAACAATTCCTAAGGCTTTACTAATAGCTATTATGACAATGTTTGCTGTTTTCTAAGTTGTTTGGAGACTGTGCAAATCAGCCTGGATTGTTAATAATACACCAATTCATTGAAGAATTATTTTTTAACAATGTAAGGGTGGTTTAATTAAAAAGAAATCCATGCAAGAGCAGAGTTTAAAAGAGAACTCAGGATATTCATCTCCATCAGATGGACACAATGAAAGATGCCAAGGAGGTAAGTCACAAGCTTCCAAGCAAAGACTCACATTTGGTTCAGAGGAAGTTTGCTCAAGTAGCAAAAGTGGTTGCATAAGTATATCTCTCATATAAATGAAAACTGAAGGACAGACTTGCATGTAAAAAGTGATTGCCTTCTTTTCTGTTCTTTAATTTATTCATATTTATTTCTGCTTTATTTACATTGTTTCAATTATTGCTGATTTACATGTCTCATTATTCTAGAAAACTTAGGAACCTTTTACAGATAGAAATGCTACATTTACTTAAAAATCTGGAATGGATTTCCTATTCTCTCTATTCATATCAGTTTATTCTTTGACTTCTTTTAATAACTAAGACTTCTAGGAAGGCAGTTAAGCTCATTTTCTGGAAACAGAATATTTGTTCATCTAGTCTCCTAATTGCTACTTTATTTATAGATAACAGTGGAAGCATCTGTATCAATTAGTTTTTAAAAGAAGCCAAGTTAGCAAATAGTTTCACCTTCTTTCCAACTTTAGTTCTTTCTTTTTTATTATTCAGATTATTATTATTATTTTAGTGATTAACAATCTCTAATTTGTCTCATATGAAAAATTTTAGTAATATTTCCCTTTTTTGTTAAAGTTACATCCCTACAACTGTTAGAGATGGTAGTCTCCTCATTTTATATATCTTTGACACAGAAACTACATTTTAAAAATAAACTCGTCTTTTATTTGGGGGCCAGAATCTTTGTGTTGCTAGTGTAGAGGTAAGGGAAAGACAAATAAGATTATTTGAAATTTTTAGTGCTCAGAAATATGAGCATTCTTCATTTAGTTACAAAAGAATATTGTTTCTCTATCCATTGTACAATTTTAAGAATTCTAGTATTTGAAAATATTTTATTGTCTTTATGTTTCAATAGTGGGTATATTGCTGTTTCATGTTAATTTCAAGGTAGGAATGAACATGTTGCTAAATAAAATGTCCTTTTCAGGGCAGAATTTCCTTAGCAAAATTAGTTTAAAAGAATTTTATAGAAAGCATTATTACAGTGAGCTTTTATTAGATTTTTTTGAAGTTGGAAATGTATGAATAACTATAAGTACTCTAATCCTTTCTATGGAGTAAATATCAAATAATTATGACCGTTCTCAGAAAACACAATTTTAAAAAGATCAAAATAGCAGACTCATTGGTTGGATATTTGTATATAACAGCAGGAAATGAAAGTAGATGTCTCAATACCTCTAATGTTTTATTTAACTTTTTTGATATAGAGCCCTTACATTTTTTGCCTATAATCTGCTTATTAATGTTGACAAATGTTTTGTTTGCAACTCACATCTCGAATGAATTTTCTACTTTTTATAGTTTGTTTCTTCGAAGATAAAGAACAAGTTAAGATACATGTAAAGGAATTTAAGTGTAGAATTCTTCTGTCATTACTTCTCAACTAGAAACAGTACTATCTACCTAGAAATCTGTGAAGATAGGTTGCAGCTCACAATAACAGGGTACAGGGAAAGCACTATTACACTTGAAATGTAGAACCCTGGAATTATAAGCTTCCTGCATATTATGGACACACATAGAAGGCTAATGTAGTCTCCATTTTCAAGAAATTTAGAAGAAAAATAAGAAATTCCTAAAAGGTAATGTGGAGAAACTGGAGGGTTTTTGAGCTATGTTTATATAGACTGAGGAGGCATTAGCAGAGACATTACAGATATCTGACACAGAAGAAGATTAAAAGATTAAGTAAATTCCCCAAGGAGGTATGGCAAGGATACCTCTTCAGTTTGGAAGAAACTAAATGAGTGCAGGAATACATGTTTTTAGGTATAGAGACAAAAAGTAAAATGAAATATTGCCTGGTAATCTCAATTTTCTTTATAAACTAGGAGATAGACTTGTCTTTTTAGGGAGTTGGTTGGAGTGGAATAGGACAACAGGGCTAAGGAATTTCTTGAGTCGGGCACAGGTTTGGAAAAGTCATTTAGAAGTAGGAAAGGAAGTAGACTAAGGACAAATAAAAAGTGAGACAACTAGTTTATTTTTATGCTAATCTTTATGAGTATGTGTTGTTCTCAAGCATAGCTTGACTTTGCAGGGGTGGGAATAATCCAGAAAATTTGAGCCAAACCTTATGTTGCAGTGAAATATAGTTAGTAGACAGACAAGGGTATGAAAGAGTCAAAGAGACACAAGAGTTGATCAGTAATGAAAGATTTGAGGCTAAGAGAAAATGAAGGGATTGAGGCACTGTAGGTCTTAATGAGATTCACAAATATATCTATGATTGGTGTGAAGAAATGAGAAAACTAGAAGATTGAAAGTCAGTGCAATACTGAAGTTAAAATTCTCATAGATACAGTAGTTGCAGGTGACAGGTAGTCATGGAAGACAGAATATCAGGGGACCAAGAAAAGCCAACAATCTGCTTTGCCCATTAAAGCTTATGGCAGGTAAGAAGTTCCAAAGACCTCACTGAATAGCGCTGTTCACCTGTAGCATGTGGCTGTTCATCTATATAATAGAAAACACTAGACAAGTGAGCCATCTTCCTTGTGTATCCCAGAATATGAGGTCAACTTTTTAAAGTTACTGATTCATCTTAGAATTGGTTAATGTTTATTTACTTGTAGATAAATGGTGACACTGTCCAAACTGGAGTTAACTTCCAGTATGTTTCAGAAACTATAGTAAAAAGACAAGAAGAGGAAGGCAGTGATCAGGAGAGCATAAACTGTGGTACATGGCTAGGATTCAATAACTACAGAGGCCTATGTCTTTTTAACCAAAATGAGAGGGGTGTGAAGCTTGATTAATTGGGATTTAATTATTTAATTGAGTTTAATTATCTATTTAGTAGCTTTTGCAGAGGATTTTAGGTAGAGCCAAAGCTTGCTTAAGTTAACAGTGTGTTAGCATGGTTTATATATACAATAGGCCAAGAAGTAGTCATTTAGGAGCCCTAATTATAAAACAAGAGTTTTGTTTTTAATTATGCATTGGCAGGCTTTTATCTGCCACAGTCAAAATGAAACTAGAGACTTTATTGTTACTTGGCATATACTGAGTTGCCCATGTGAATAAGGAAACAAGAGAATATACTTTTGTTTATATTGATACAATATAGGGTCATAAGCTGGTATCATTTATTAAATACTTATTTGGTATTAGACTATTTGCTAAACACTTCAAAAATAAATTTCCTTGCTTTCATTTTTAAAACAACTTTATGAAATAGGTATCTTGGTTTTTATGAACATTCAAGATTAGTGGCTCTGGCACCAGATTACTAAGCAACAAACTTCAGCTGGCTCTTACTAGCTATGTGATATTAGGCAAATTGCCTAGCTGTGGTGTGCTTCATTTTTCTTTCTATAGGTTGAGATAATTATATTACCTATTTCCATAGAGTTGCTGTGAAGATTAAATGAATTCATGCAAGTCAAGTGTTTAGATCAATGCCTGGCCACAGGAAGTCCTCAATAATTGCTGTGGATGGGCTGGGGCTGTAGTTCAGTGACACAGCACTTTCCTTATCATGCATGAGGCACTGGGTTCAATCCTCAGCACCACATAAAATTTAACAAATAAAATAAAGGCATTCTGTCCATCTACAACTACCAAAAAAAATTTTTTAAATAATAATTGCTATGGATTATTGTTATTGTTAACAACTTAGAAAACAGAGGCTTGGGTTTATTCTAAGTGGGATTCTGGTTATCTGTAAGATTTTACACTGTACTATGCTCCTTTTTATTCCTTTTTATTATTATTATTTTAGTAAAATGTATACAACATAAAATATACTATTTTGACCATTTTGAAGTATATCATTTAGTGGCATTAACTATATTCACAATGCTGGACAACTATTACCACTCTATTCTATAACATTTTTAACACCCAAAACAGAAACTTTAAACATTAAAGCAATATCTTTCTTCTATTCCGTTCTTTCCTCAGCCCCTGGCAGCTTCTCTCTACTCTCTGCCACTGTGAATTTGCCTGTTGTAGATATTTCATATGGTGGAATCACAAGATATTTGTGTGGCTCATTCCCCTTAGTCTAATGTTTTCAAGGTTCAGCCATGCCATGGCATGCATTGTGGCATGCTTTTTATGGTTGAATAATATTCCATTGTATGGATATACCATGTTTTGTTTATCTGTTCATCCATTGATAAATATTTGAATAATGCTATAGTGAACATTGCTGTACAAGTATCTGCTCAAGTCCCTGTTTTCAATAATTTTAGCTATATACCTAGGTATGGAATTACTAGGTCACCTATTGGCATTTGAAAAACTTCTAAACTGCTTTGCATAGCAGCTAAATCATTTTATTTCCCACTAAAAATATACAGCGTCTTGATATTTCTCCACATCCTTACCAACATTTATTATTTTCCATTTTTTTACTTGTAGCCATTTGTGATAATAAGAAATATATATTTGATCATTGTGCCTGATTCCAGACACTGAGTTTCTAAAACACTTGAAATTTCCTGACTGATAGGGGTAATAAGAATATATTTTGTTATTCATTAACAAGTCCCTTTTAGCCAAACCTAAGTTTATACTAATACTAATAGATGGTTCTTTATGGACCTCTAGACAGCATCAACATGGGAACTGGTTGCAAAAGAACCAACTATATAAGATTGACACCTTTAGCCCAGCTTCCATCAATCCAGAAGGAGAAGAATAAGGACAAGGGGCTGGAAACTGACTTTACTCACCAACAGTCAGTGATTTAATCAGTCATGCCCATGTAATAGGGGAAAACAAACACAAACAAACAAACAAAAAACTCTGAACTAAAGGATTCAGAGAGCTTCTAGGTTGGGAAACACATCGAGGTCCTGGAAGCATCCCATACCCAGGGATGGAAGCTCCATTCCCCTTACCCGCACTTTGCTCTTCCATTTGATTGTTTCTGCTCTTGGTAAATAATCTTTTTCCTCTGTTCTTTGAGCCATTTAAGCAAATTATCAAACTTAAGAGGGGCTTGTGAGAATCTCTGACTATATAGCTAGTCAAAAGGATGGGTGGCCCAGATTTATGATGGGCATCTGGATTTGGGGCAATTTTGTGGAATTGAGCCCTTAATCTATAGGGTCTACAGTAATTCTAGGTAATGTCAAATTAATTTAATTGTAGAATACCCAGTTAGTGTCCAGAAAGAACTGCTTGTTGGTGTGGAAGAAACTCACAAACTTAGTGTCAGAAATTTTGACAGTAGAAAAGTAAGAACCATCCTAAAAGACATGAAGTTATTTCTTGTGGTTTGAATTTGTATTTTCCTAGTGAAAAATGTATTTATGTGCTTCTTGGCTGTTTGTATTTCTTTTCTGGATAAATGTCTATTTAAGTTACTTGCACATTTTTTAAACTGGTTTGTCTTTTTGTTGTTTTTCTTTTTAAATATATTCTAGATATTAAACCCTACCAGATAGATGATTTACGAATATTTTCTCCTCTACAATAGTAATTTTAAAATTTTTGGGTCTGAGGATGTGGCTCAAGCGGTAGCGTGCTTGCCTGGCGTGCGTGCGGCCCGGGTTCGATCCTCAGCACCACATACCAACAAAGATGTTGTGTCCGCCGAGAACTAAGAAAAAATAAATATTAAAAATTCTCTCTCTCTCTCTCTCCTCTCTCACTCTCTCTTTAAAAAAAAAATTTCCTGAAAACATTCTTTGCACAAAAAATTTTAATTTTGATTAAGTCCAGTTTTATCATTTTTTCTTTGAATGTTTGTAGTTTTAGTGTCACATCTTAGAGTCTGTTGCCAAACCAAAATGATGAATATTTACTTCTGTACTTTTGTCTAAGAGTTTGATGCTTTTAGCTCTTACATTCTGCAGTGTCTAATCCATTTTGAGTTAACATTCGCATGTGGTATGAAGTGAGGAGTTCACCTTTACTCTTTTGTGTGTGTTATCATTATCATCATAATCATCTTTGTGTAACCATTGGTCAATCATGGTCAAGAAAATTGCCCTAGAGAAAACTGGTAGGTGTGCACAAAAAAGTTAATTAGAATTTACTAGAAGTAACTTAAGCTTCTATCAGTAGTAGGATAAATAAATAAATATGATTTTTATATAACAAAATATGATTTGTTAGATGAAATAAGAAAAATATTTCTACTTATGCTAATGTAAGTGAATCATAAAACATATTGAGTGGCAGAAACAAGTTACAGAATGATAGGTCTAATGGTGTTTATTTCTTGAAAACACAACATACAATAGCATTGTTTGGGAAAGGTAGACATGAACCTCAGTGTAGTTAATTCCAAAGACAGAATTAAATGAGATTGAGGCAGTTTCAAAGGTAATATAAACTGCCTACTTTTGTGTGTGTGTGTGTGCACATGTGTGTGTGTGTGAACATTTGCCTTAAAAGAAAGTAAATGTTGCAAAATGTTGACATGTATGTGATAGGTATCTAAATATTGATTAAATTGTTTCCTGTACTTTTCTGGTATTTGTATATTAGATTTTTTAAAAATGTATTATGCAGTAAGTAGATAGTTATTACAGTTTTCTTATAGGGGAAAGTCATTAGGAAAATGATATCAGAATTAAAATTTTAGGTGTCCTTTAGAAAAAAGCATATTCAGTTACATTAATGCATGTATATAATTGTGACAATTTTAATTAGATGAAAACTGTATAATTGCATGATATAGTAGTTAAGCTGAGAAATAAAAGTAAGAGAAAGGAGTAAAATATATCATTTCAAATATAATAGGACGTTTTTAGTTTGGTTTAAAATATTACATACTTTTAGAAAGGGAAAATACAGTAATTCAACACTCTAAAATTCATATGAGGTGTCCCCCAAAATATTAATTGAATTAGAACTTCCAGCAAAGAAAGGTAAAGGATCTCTTTTCAGAAGAAAAGTATAGGGAAAATAACTAAACTACCATCAACTAAATAAAAACTAAAGTATTTTATATGTTATATTATTGAAATTGTAATTGGTTGCTTATCATGAGGCAATAAAACAAAAATACACAGCATATAGTTTATTTCTCTTTCTCTCTCTGTCTCTCTCTCTCTTTTGTTCACTTAGCTGGTCATCTGACTTTTGAGTGCCGCAATTTTCTCCGAGTAGATCCCAAAAGGGACATAGTTTTGGATGTCAGCAGTACAAGTAGTGAAGATAGTGATGAAGAGAATGAAGAACTGAATAAATTGCAGGCATTACAGGAAAAACGTAAGCAGTGATTTTTTTTCAACCCTAATGTTTCTAGATGTCCTGCTGTGTTATGTTATGCTCATATATCGTATTTATCATTAAAAAGTTTTCTCTATTTTATGTAAGAGCTACTATTTTATTGGTAAGAAATAAGCTTTTCACATTTTAAGTAATTTGCCTAAGATCGAAAACCTCCTCGTAGAACCAGGAGGTAAGTTTGTTTCTGATTCCATAACCCTCGTTTTTGCCTTTTTGTTGTTTATTTTTTTCCCATTATACTAGAATATGTCATATGGTACATAGAATCTGCTTAATTTGGTTTCTATCCCCGACTATTTTGTACACAAAAGATAAGTTGTATTCTTTTCCAACGTCTTCTTATATTACAAAAACTCAGTCTCTTTTTCCTGTTAACCTCTGCACATCTCAGCATCCTGTCTCAGAACTAATCTCAATAAATAAAAGTGGAAGAACTTTAAGAATTTGCAGCAGTAGAGAAATACTAAAACCATCTAAAATTTACTTTTTTAAAAAAAAATTTTTTTAGTTGCCAATGGACCTTTGTTTGTTTGTTTATGGTGCTGAGAATTGAACCCAGGGCCTCATACATGTTAAGCGAGTGCTCTACCACTGAACCACAACCCCAGCCCTCCAAAATTCACTTTTGTCTTCACTTGAGTTTTCAGATCCTATTATTCTTGATGCTACTGGTTTTTAAGGGAGATGGTCAGGAAAACAGATTTATTGAAGTCTGTGATTATTTTGTTTTTAATAGAACTAAATGGTCTGTATAATGTAGAAAGTTAAAATCTTACCCACCATCCCTAAATGGAAGAGGAAATCATTCCCTCAGCTACTCTTTTATTCCCTTACATTTTTGGTAACTTTGTTTTTGAACATGTTTACAAACTGTTCCAAAATTATTGCAGTTACCAAAAAAAGGCTGATACTCAAAAGGAAGTTAAAGTGTCAGACACAGAAGGTTTCAAAACATAGAATATTACCAAGAAAAAGAGGTTTTTTTTTTCATAATGATAAAAGTTCACTTAGTCAAAAGAACATAAAAATTCTGTGTATTTAATAACATTGAGTAACAAAAACTATGTTAGATCTATAAGGAAAAATCTTTCTGGATTAAGAAAAATATCACAGTTAAAATTTCAAACACCTCTCTCAATAATTAGTGGAACAAGTACACAGTAAATCAGTAAAGATACAGAAGGCATGAAGAGCAATATTGACAATTTGACCTGGTTAACATTTATATAACACGTCATCCAACAGAAGCAATGTACATAGGACATCTTCCAAGACAGATTTAACTCTGTGCCATAAAACAAGTGTCAATAAATTTTTAAAGGTTCAAGTCATACAGAGATGCTTTCTGACCACAAGGAAATTAAATTACAAATCAATAGCAGAAAGCTACCTAGAAAATTCTCAAATGTTTAGAATCTAACATGCTTCCAAATAATTAATTACATCAAAAAAGCAGCAAAAGAAAATTAAAACATGTATTGAACTGAATGAAAATAAAAGTATAGCTAGACATGGAGGTACATACTTATACTCCCAGCAACTCAGGGGGGCTAAGGCAGGAGGAAACAACTTAGTGGACCCTATCTCAAAATTTAAAAGATAAAGCTGAGGATGTTACTGAGGATAGAGTTAACTCTGTCAATCCCCAGTACCACAAAGAACCAAAAAAGAAAAGAAAAGAATATTTCTGGGGTAGCTCTATAGCAGGACTTAAAGGCAACTCTATAGCACTAATGTATGTGTCAGTAAAGAAGAAATGTGTCAAAATTAATGACTTTACCAAGTGTAGGAAGGGGAGACAAATGAAACCCTTGAAATTAAAAGAAAGGAGTAATACAATCAGAGATGAAATCAGTGAAACAGGAAACAGAAAACTAATGAAAGTAAAGTCTGATTCTATGAGAGGATATATAAAGTCAAAAAATCACCATCCAAACTAAGTAGGTAAAGAGAGAAACACCAACATTACAGATATGAATATTAAAGACATAAAGAAATATTATGAGCAGACATATACTGATAAATTGGAAAACTTAGATAAAATTACTTGAAAAATACAACCCAGAAAAACTTTCAAAAAGTGAATAAATACATAGAGTATCCTGCATCTACTAAAGATATTAAACATTTAGTTTAAAACTTTCAACAAAGAAAATTTCATGCCCAAATGGCCTCTTTCAGGAATCCCACCAAACATTTAAAGTAGAAATAATATTATTGCTGTATAAAATATCATTTAAGTTGAAGAAACTATTTCCTAACTCAGTTTATGAGATCAGAATACCCTGATAACAAAACCAGATAAAGCCACTACAAAAAATAACTTAGAATGTCACATAAATACAGATGCAAAAATTCTTAACAGAATTTTAGCAAATTGAATGCAACAATATATAAAAAGTATAATGTATTATTACTAGAGTTTACCCCAGGAATGCAAAATTTGTTTCACAATCAAAAGTTAATCAATGTAATTTACCCATTTTAATAGACTAAAAAAGAAAACAGTTTAGGAAAATTTATATGAGGAAGTCCATCCATCATTTAGAGATTATAGAGATATATATGATAAAATTTAGAAATATACAGATATATTTAGATATATATAGATATGTCATATACATATCTGATAATTCTCAGCAAACTAGAATTCAAAGGAACTTCATCAACGTGATAAAAACTATGAAAAAAAGAACTAAAAGATTACATTATATGTAATAAAAGACAATGTTTTCCATGACATAAAGGAAAAGACAAAGATATCCACTTCTACCCCCTCAACTGCTGGCAATCATAACCAGTACAATAAAGAGGTCAGGGGGGGTAACCAGATTGAAAAGGAAAGAGTAAAAACTGTCTTTATTTAAAGATGAAATTGTCATCTATATAGTAAATCCTATGAATCCACCAAAAATCTTCTAGAACTAACAAGTGCTTTAAAAAGTATTAAGAATAAATTTGACAAAAGATATGCAAGAATGAAACATACAATACATTGTTGAGGAAAGTTAAATGAATTAACAGAAAGATATACCATATTTATTGAATGGGTGCTTCAGTCTTGTTAAAATGTCATTTCTTTCCAAATGATCTATAGGTTGAAAACCATCACAATCAAAATACCAGCAATCTGTTTAGAAATCTACAAGTCAATTCTAAAGTTCTTGTGGACACGTAAAGAACTTAACATAGTAAAATACTCTCAAAACAAATAATGTAATATAGGACTAACAACCTAATTTCCTGATTTATTATACAGCTACAAGTAATCAGAACATTTCACTGTTGATGTAAAGATAGGCCCATGAAACAGAATAGACTCAAATATATATGACCAATTGATTTTTTTTTTTTACATTTAAGTCTATGGTTCATTTTTATTGGATTTTTTTATGAGGTGGAAGATTTATCTCAAGAGTTTTTTTTTGTTGTTGTTCATTTGTTCGTTTTCCTTAAGGATGCCCAACTGTTCTAGCACTATTTGATTAAAAGGCTATCTTCCTCCATTGGATTGTTTTACATTTTTGCCAAGTATCCTTTGGCCATATTTCTATAAGTTAGTTTCTAGAGTCTTTCTATTTTTTATTGATCTTTGTGTCTTTCCCTCTACTAATGGCCACATAATCTTGATTGATATGGCTATGTTGTAAGTCTTGAATTGGATACACTGAGTGTTAACAATATGATATCCACATGTCTTCTCACTTATTTAGGTCTTTGATTTCTTTTATTATCATCCGTGTTCTATACAGTATATGTTTCATTAGATTAGTGCTTTTTAAAAAAATTATAGATGACATTATACCTTTAATTTTGTTATCTGCATGTTCATTGCCAATAAATAAAAATTGAATTGATTTTTGGGTTGGGAGTATAGCTCAGTGGTAGAGCATTTACTTGGCATACATGAGGTCCTGGGTTCAACCCGCAGGACTGGTGTATGGATGGATGGATGAACAGGTACATAAAGTTTGGTATATTTATTTTTTCTTGATGACTTCATCAATCTTTTCTAGATTTTTGTAGTATCCTTGGGATTCTCTATGTAAAACATGCCATTTGTAAGTATGGAGTTTTATTTCCTCCCTTTAAGCTGTATCTCTTTTATTTTCTCTTCTTGTTTTGTTGTAGTGACTAGAATTTAGAGCACCATGTTGAAAAGAGTGGTTAAAGATAACATCCTTTCTTCATTCCAATCCTAGAGAAAAGTTCATATTTTCACTATTAAGTATCAAGAAAGCAGATGAGTTTTTGTTTGTTGTATTTTTCTTCCTTATCAAGCTAAAGAAGTTCTTCTACTTCTAGTTTTTTCTGGGAGGTTTAGTTTTGTTTTATTGTGAATTCATGTCAAACTTTGACATGAGCTTCTGCATGAGTTGATACAATCATTTTTTTTTCTATAGCCTATTAATATCATTGGTTACATTAACTGTGGGTTTTTTTTGAATATTGGAATAATCTCATGTCCCTTATATAAATTATAGCCATGATGTTTAATTTTTTATATTTGATACTAAGTACTTCACTAATATTTTATAAAGGATTTTATATCTGTTAATGAATGATGTTGGTCTGTAGCTTTCTTATTTTGTATTGTTTTATTCTGATTTAGTGTCAATGTAATATTAGCTTCATAGAATATTGGAAGAGTTTTCTCCTCTTTTATTTTTGGGGTGAGATTGTGTAAAATTTTTGTTGATTCTTTAAATGTTTGGTAACATTCTCCAGTAAAATAGCTAAGTCGTCAAATTTATATCTATAGAATTTTCATAGTATTTATTTATCCTTTTGTCATCTGAAGGGTCTATAGAGATAATCCCATTTCATTCCTGATATTGGTAATTTGTATCTTATTTCCATTTTTCTTTGATTACTAAAGTTTTGTAGGTTCTTTGTTGAATTAGTTTTTCTCAATTTTCCCTCATTTTCAGTTTTAGCAATTTCTCTTCTTTATCACCTCCTTAATTCTTGCTTTGAGT